CATCAGTGAAATGGGGTGCGAAAACTCCGAAACAATGACATGGTTTCCGCGAATCGCAAATGCGCTGGTAATGCTACGTTCTGATGCTCGTATATGAACATATGTATGTGAGGGGTCGTAGGAGGTGGCGGTGCAACATCGTATGCGGGTCATCCGCGGAAGTCTCCCATGAAAGCTTGATGCCTTTATCCATCACCTCGATTCTCCGATGGGGGCTCTTCTTTTATCCTATTGGTGAGCTTGTGTTTCACTCGATCTGGCCCTCCACCCGAATGTTTCTCGGGCCAGACCGATGCGTTGCCGGATCTCTCCGAGTGCGTGCGGCGTCGTTTTTCCACCTCATCCGTTGATGCAAGACATGCTCTCTGACGGGATCTGTTTTCCCGCTCCGATGAACAGCCATCATACACCTTTATCAACGTCTCCGCACCGCGCACGAGGGAGGAACAAAAGATCCCCGAGAATCAGATTGCTCTCCCTTCGGCAGAGAGATCTCTTCCCGAGAATGTGTCGAGTCAGAATCAAGGTTTCGCAGACACGGATTTCCGTCCGACGACAGCCTACGTCCCTCGGCGGTCATTCTGCAGCGAGCTGATATCGCTTGATTCCGGACCACTGGACTCGACTGGATTAGTCGGATGCTGAAATTCAGACGCGAGACGGCGATTGAATGGCCGGTGTGGGAGGCGTCCGGGAGCTCGGAGCCTCGTCGCTCGGCCCGACGCGAGAAAGCTCCCGCATGGCAAGACGTAATTTGCTGTACAAAGGCTGTAATTTCCTTCAGCAAGAAGGGCTGAAGCACATTTTTGAAAGAGACTAACGCTTCACAGAAAACTTTAAAGCGGCTTCGAAAACTCTTCCCCCATTCGCACGCCCACGGAATCCTCTCTCTTGGTCGCAGGTCGCCCTCCTTGCCCCATCCATCGTGCGAGTATGTGACCAACTCACCGTCCGAGCGCAGTTTCTCGCTCGACTCCTCCGTCGAAGCCCGTCCCGTGTGGGCCCGTGCGACGGTGGACCTCCGGGTCCTAATCCGCTCTGAGAAACTTTTCCAACTTGCCCGATCCACTGCGAGAGGGCCCCGGTACGGCCAACGAGCTACGAGTCGGGACGACTCTCCCATACGAGGGTATCTCAGCGTACGGTCCGTGGAGCTTCCAGCCGGAACTGAAGTCAATCGACAAATGGGCCCGATGAATTCACGTCGGGAGCTCGTCACCTGTCGTGCGTATATTTATCGCTTGCCAGAGCGAAGTTGCAGACACTCCATCACTGGTTATGGATGGCACTGGAAAGCGAAAAGTTCAGCGAATTCTTCTTTCGCAATAGACGAGCATCCTTCACTAGGAGCTATCTCCCTCCGCCGATCACGCAGCGGGATACCGCCCGTTCCTGAGTAAGGCTTCCAAACCCAATCCCTTGGTGAGCTAGTCGACTTGTTCGCTCACATATAAGGGCAGATCCACAAGCGAGGAATTAGGTGCTCGTCACTCGTGTTCGTTCCGGGGAAATTCCGCAACCACCAGGTTCAGAGTTTATACCTGCCTGCATACCTACATCAGAGGTCTTAGAGTAGGGTTTTCGATCAACGAGAAAAGTAGACCGTCAGATGAGCTCTGACAGCATCTCTCCGCGTTCAGGATGTGACGCTGGACAGCATCATCACGACTTGACGCCGACCCGATTTCTGAACGAGAGTTTGCGAAGTGGACTTATTCCGGGAGGAGCGACGGCGCGGTCACGTAGCTCGGATTTTATAGCTGCTGGTGCCGCGGTGGAAGCTTCATTGACCGCACCCTGATTCTGTTAAATAATTCATTGACAGGGAGAACGAATTATCCTCCACTTGAACGTATTGCCGGCTAAAAGTTAATGTTCAGGCTACCGTCCGTTGAGTCGATGGACTCGCAGCAGCAACGGTAGGCAATAGTGAACCTCCTAAACTCCGCAGGATCGAGCGGACCGAGAAACGGGACATCGGCCGCTGACTGTCGGTCGCATACCTTCGTTCAAGAGCGCTAGGAGCGAATCAACACTATGCCGGACTTCAACCCGAGGAAGGAGACGACTCGAGCACCGCGACCTCTTCACAGCGTTTCCCTACGTCATATAACTCCTCAAATCCCATTCTCTCCTCCAATTTCATTGAGCCTGAACGCAAATGAAATTGCGAGGCGCCTACTTTCGGTGCATGGCGAAAATTCCCTGGAATTCGGCTCGAAATACTTGGTGTGCACAGTGTGAACATTTTGCGGAAAATGTCTCCCAGGGGAGTCCCTAGTGAATTATCTTCGAGCCTGAGCGGTTCTTCGGGTGTAGGAGAGGATTATTTCTTCCCAAGCTCATATTCGGATCTCGTTCGACAGCAATCGCACTCGATCATCCCGAATAAAACGCTATCTAATCACCCCTTAACTCAATCAAAGTGAGTGGACTGTGATTGAGCTCCATTTTGTGTGTCCGACGAGCTTCCACAGAATGGAACGTTCCTCGATAGCGATTAGGAATACAAAGTTCCTTTCGATATCAGCTACCTTTGTGATGTTGACCGAGTTCGCATTTTGTAATTGTTATTCAAATTCCAATCGAAATAAGAAAAATGGAGCAGCTATCTCCCAGTCTTTGTGCCCTCCCCCCCTATAGCATTGCGGGTCGCAAAACGCAGAGAGTTTCAGGGATAAGGCCGCAGAAGCGGCCGGGAAGAGGGAAGTGGCACTTGATCCCCCTGGAAAATCATCGAGATGAGCTCTCGAAGCCCTAGAGTCCGTCTCAGGGTGTAACCAAGATGGCGCAGAGAGGTCGGCTGCCCCAGGCGCTTTTCCTCGTACAGGTGTGGGAATCACTTGTGTGGGGCATTTAGCGCTCGGCACCCTATTCAGCGACAAGACGGAGGGACAGAGGGACGGAGGGACAGAGGGACAGAGGGACAGAGGGACGGAGGGTCGGCGATAGGGCAAGGTACGACATCGAGCTTAACGATGCGCCCAGTCAGGGAAGAACGCAACATGGCGTGACCCACAAATCGACAGTGTTGGAGAGCGAGGACTGCGGCTGAACCCTTGTCCAACGGCTCGTCTACTCGGAGGGATTTTCCCGATGAGCAGGTCGTGGGGTCTGTGAAAGACTCGTACATAATTGTGGGCGAGCTCGTAGTTTCTACCCGGAGCTGCTCACAGTTAGTCACCGCTCAAGTCTGTCCGTTTGAGAGGGACGCTTTGGTCTCCAGGGAGGAGAAGGTCGGACAGTCGAGACGACAAACAAAAAAAAGCTCCGGGTCGTCCAGGACATGGTCATCCCGAGGACCGCCGAAGTCCGAAAGTGGATCCCGACCGCCGAGTGTACCTCGAGGTTGGCTGGTTCGGTCGTTGGACCAGCCTCTCAATCGAAGAACCGTTCCCCTTCGATGCAATGGAGCACGCCGACCACCGCAACACACCCCGCTTGCCTCCCTCGAATGCGCAGAGTGACTGCGAGGGCAAAAACTAAGATGCCCTTTTTACCTCTCGCTGCCCATTCCTCTGCTCCCAATCTGACGTCGTTGCATCAATTATTAACCCTGCAACGATCGCGTTCGAACGAGCAAGCGCATGAGATTCTGGCTTCAGAGTTCCTTTGGTCCCTTTGACCTCGCTGAATATTCCACACAAGCTCAATCAGCGACTTCAGATTAGATATACAAAAACGCACCTGAATGCATACTTCCTACATTTTTGGGTTTGGTCCAGCTCGAATTTCGTAGGTGTACCCCAGAGTGTCATTCCAGACACCTTCGAATCGGCGGAAATTGTTAAGCTAAAATGAATACAAATATAATTTACAATTGCCGTGTAGCCTGATACGATTGCCACGGAGTCAACATGCGAACCGGTAATCCATTCCTTCCTATCGCAGAACCGTCGCGTTCCAGAAATAAACGGATAAACTGAATCTGGGACGACCCCTAGGTAAAACTCGATGGCCAGGCCGCCTCCGCTCGTCCACGAGCTCCTGATTCCGCTCGCAGCAGTCGACGAGCACCTCGGATCAGGAGAATGTTCTGAATCGAGGACTGTGAGGAACAGGTCTGCGCCTACCACTCGGAAGATCCGGACTGATATGGTTGTGGTCCTCACCGGAGTTTCAGCTCCTTCACAATCTATTCATGGTTTTCGAATGTCGGCGCTCACGACCGCGGACGGACCATTCCTCCCTTATAGTATCGAAAGCTAAGGGGAGAGCTGCGAGCACAATTCTTTGCTCCTGGTACAGTGAGAATCGACCCTGGATTAGAATGTGCGATGGTCGATGGAGGACCGTCTGAGATGCGTTCCCTCCGAGAGGAGCACTGGAGAAAGGTGAACTGTGAACAAAGCGCTCGCAGAGTCTTTGTCCAAGTAAATTTCGAGCGACAAAAGAAGACTCTCCTCCTACAAAAGCTACCCGATCGTAATTGGGAATCGTCGTGTGGAGGGAGATCAGGAGACTTTTCTCGAGAGCTGTTGAGCTCTTTTTAAAGGCAGCACTCGAACAGCGTCGGAGTTCTCTCTTTAGCGACTCTCCCAGAAAAGTTCATACTGTTGGCGATCCCGGTACGGCGAGATGAGTCGTTCTCAGATAGGATGAAGAGAAGTCTTGGATTCTATCTCAGAAAAAAGTGGAATAGATAGATGTGTGTACTGGAATGCCCCCCGCGAAGCGCACATCGAAATACGACCTGATTTTATAGATGGTGGATCATATTGAAAACACGGAATAATAATTGACCCCCGCAAGGGAGGAAGGCAACGAGAAACACTTTAATTTAATTACATGGCATTCGATCATTCTTTCTGGTTCCCTTTGAGATAAGGGTCAAAATGGTGGGAAGTGCAGCGTTTTCTGCATCATTCAGCCGATCCCCCTGCTCGATGAAGGATTGTCCGGACTCGTCTCATTGAGCACAATGGGATCAACTTCCCTCTCGCATTCCCGATCGCGACTCGAATTTTTACAACTAAATTCCAGTATCTAGGATATTCATATACTATTGAGATGATTCTCTCGCGCCATCACAAAAAAAACATTAATCGATGGCACTTCAGGGTTCTAGTTAAGTTTGAGTCAAGAATTCCTAATCTCAGCTCGCGGAAGTAATTGAAACGGCTTTCAAACGGCTGAATAGTTCGGAATTGTCTAAACAATGATCTATCACTTTCTACATTAGTAACAAAGAAGGAGAGCTCTCACGGATTGTTTCCAGCGGATGAACCCGTCGACTTTCCACAACTTGATCGGGGGCAATGGAGTCCCTTTAGCTCGACCGAATAAAATTTCAAGCTAAGCACCCCGCCACTTCTATCATCCCAAATTCATAAGGAATCACAAGGTCTCTATCCTGGTTCCGCTCCTTCTCGGAATCCAGGACGACTTTCAATTACGTTATGGTCCCGACATGTACTATCTCGACATGCTCGTACTCGAAGCGCTCGATAGACCTGTTGAAGAGTGCAGCGCTCGCTTTCCTCCTCCTTGACTAAATGCCAGTCCGCTATTTTGCGGGTGGCTTTCCGGAATGACTTTTGAGTTCCCATAAGCAGCCCCCAACGGATCGATGAGACCCCGAGTCGGTCCTCCCGTGACCTCACTCGAAGGAACAACGATCTGTAGTAACGGAGACGTTCCTAGAACGATGTCTGCGGCGTCGCCCCGGCCGAGTTCGATTAGAGCCGTTGCTAGAGCCCCGATGCTGCTCTGAGAAACCTGGAATTGGGTTAATGATTGGGAATAGAGTTGCCGCTCCAGTCACGTCACCGAGAGTCCCGACCACCGAGGAGTCGCATCGACCACTCGGAGGAGCGTCGAAAGATATTCTACACGGCTGCCGTCAGAGTCGCCAACGTCAAGTTTCGGAACCAGAGGACTGAACTAAAGTTCGCCACTCACCCTCGACCATTGATGGAGGACATTTGCGATGGGTGAGAACTGTTTGGAACTCGCCGCAGCTTTCGGATCTGGAAGGCCGTATCAAGCACTAAATCTCCGCACCATTTCCTATTCCGGAACAACTAAGCTTAGGGGTCGAATAGCGAGACTCGATTCCTACCATTGCTTTTCTGCTGCTTGTCATAATCACAGTCTTCTCCGAAGGTATCCGACTCGATCCTGAGAGGAATAAGTGATCAATCGAGTTGAAAGAATGTACGGCGGTAAATCCACGACGGAAATCATTTTGCGTTGAAGGAGAAATTCGGTTCCTCTCTAACCTTGGCAGTATGTCGGCGCATCCCAACTGGACCGAGAGTAAACACCAGTCGCGACCGAGTTTTTCGGGTGGGTCAAGGGCCGCACCAAGCTTCTGTCGAGTCAGCACAGAAAGTTGCGACGCATGAACGGACGGACCTGCAATAGAGTTCTGAATTCAGTGCGAAGTTCCTTTATCGAGAGGATTCCCCGAGGAAATCTGGGCCCCTGACCGACGAACGCTGGAGAAAGCTCACCCGGCACGAAAGCGGTCCCTACGCGGGAACAGCCTAGCAAATTCGTCACCAGCTCTTTGGTTCTTCGGATAGGATGCTCCACCGCCGCCTTCAGTCCGTCAGCTAGCATCGCCCTCATCACCTATGTCCCGGAACACCTTGATATTAGAAGCCGATCACTGTCTGTTTACCTTCACAATCCAGGGGGCTCGAAGCTCTCACCGCTCATGCAGAAACCAGCATTTGTGTTCAGAGAGAAACCAGTCGTATGATCAGATTTCCTTCTTGCGTATTAAATGATTAGGGGAAGAGAAAAACAATAATTCCTCCCTTGATCCCCGACGGTCACTTACCTGTGTGGCGGGGTAGGCGTGGGCTGTCTCAGGCGAGCTCCTGAGATCCTCAACGGACAGGAGATTCCTGACGAAAGCGATACCGGGACAGACCTGATTGAGAGAGAAGAAAAATCAGTCAACTCCCAGCATCCTTCGGATCCCTAGGGATCCCGGGTCGAGAATCCAACTCATCCTCACCTCCAGAAGTACATCATCAATGACGGCTAGGAGTTCCTCCATGAAGTAGAAACTAAGGAGAGAGAAAATTTCAGGTGTTTTGCGACCGAGTATCGATCCGAAACCGACCCTTTAATTTACGTATGCACTCGCTCTTACCAGTTCGTATGGCTCTCTGCCGGTCCACGAACTTGAACTTCGAGAGCGTCTCTCGAGCCTTCCAGAAAGACCACGCCTTCGAGGCCTTCATGTAGATACCTGAAGGAAATGTTCACCGGACGTTAGAGGCGGAGGCATTTCTCACATTCCATCAGTTCACGTGACGGTATCTTCCTCACCTGCTGCCGAGATGCCACTGCGTCAAATCGCTCCCGTGGCCCGCTGAAAGCAGAGCCATGCGCCGCAAGTGCACCTGTCGAAATGAAATCAGATTGAGATCCCCATGAAGGACTCCGATGGAGAATCAATGATTCCGGAACATGGTACGTTCATGATATCTATATACCTGCGAGGATTTGATTCAGGCAACTTTGGAAAAATCGGATAAGTGAACTCGCCTGTACTCGAGGGAACAGTATCGAGAGAATTCTAGGATGACTGTCGAAGGGCGACACATGAACGCCCAGGTGAACTTGGAAATAATTCTTATCTCTCGAAACCTCTGAGCTGGCTCGGAAGAGATCCCAAATTGATTCCTCCGACCTGTCCGCCAATGGCCGGAAGTAACATGGGAACTCGTACTCCACCTGGAATCGGGCGCGGGCTCACCATAAGGCTGAAGAATTGAAGCTACCCATCACACTGCACAAGCGATCAATGAGATTTGCAGAGCGCTTCGATCACCAACTTACCTCCCCAGCATTGTCGTATTGAGTGCACAACTTGAGATTCTCGAAAACCTGAGGATACGCGAGAGAGTTATTCCAAGCAGAATAGGGACGACGCCGGAATTTCGATCCCTCCGTTCTTGGAGAGGACCCGTCAGGCGAACGGAGGCCTCTAGACTCACCTGGAGCAGATCAACAGCATCGACTTCAGGGAAAATCTGCTGAAATGCTTCGGGTGAGTAGCAGCCGGACGACCTCGCTCTTTCAACCTCCTCATGCGCCAAAACGTCTCCTACGGATAGAATTTACGATCTGGGAGAGTCCTAACTGAAGAAATTCTTCACGAGAGCAGACCACTTTGCGCTGCTGGAAGAAATCGGAAAATTCCTTGGCAATACAATTACCAATCACTTCGGAGCCGAGCCACTGCGGTGTCAGCACTACCATGTCCTCTGTATCTGATCGGCTGTACACGACCTGCGAGAAAAAAAATCCGTCAGCATAATTTGAGACTCGAAGAACTGGGAATCCGTGTCGGACGATGGACTCTAGTCTACATCTCACCTCTCCGATAAGGGTCAACTGCATCACCAACTCCTTCAAATGCTCTTCCCCGACCAAGGGGTTGATCTGGAGTCGAACCTGGGGAAAAGCGTTCCTTTATTTTCTAAAATGAAGCTCGCGTGAGCACATCAACGACAGTGGGATCACCTATGTGGGCTGCTGACGTGCGAACTCACCATGTCTCGGAATTGATCCCAGGTGAGAACAGGGAAAGTCGGCGAGGCGCTCCTCCATTTGGCTAGTTGACTCAGCATGGCTTCCAATAGACCTAGGGGAAGGTTCAAGGATTTGAATCCGGTGAATACCCGAGACACAGACGCGTAGCAACCACGAATGAAGCTTACCTGTAGACCGTGGCAGTTGCTGAAGTATTGAGGTGCGCAAGGAGCTGAGATAAGCTTTGAGGTTCTTCAAAGCTGGTGCGGATACGGACTGAGCGTCGAGAACGAAGAACTGTAGGAATGCAAGAGACTGTGTCTTTGACTCTGAGATTGGCCGTTGACGCTCATCACTCTTCGCATACGATATTCTCCCAACGAAATGAGCTCCCGGTCTAACGAACCTGATCATGCAAATTGAAGCTGTGTCGGAACTTCGTTCGTAGTCGATCGAAAACTTGTTGAGCTATAGCTTCAGCATCTTTCTGAGAGCCGTAATGGTCTGCGTGGGTCGCGATATACGCCACATGTAGTGCTTGACTCGATTTCCCTGAAAGCACAGACAACTACTACGTTGAGCAAAGAAAAGTCTGATTCCCATGTTCCGAGACCCGATAGCCCGAAATAAGTTTTGATCTCTCTCTGTGGAAAGGGGAGCCGACAAACCTCCCATGCCCAACGGTTCCACCGGGGGCGCTTGTCCTATCAGCCACGTCAGCCAAAATGAGATCTGCCGCACTTGAACATCGACCGGGTCGATCAAGCGGGAACAAACAAGATGAACGCAATAAGGGTTACCTGGTGGATTGGAGAAATCGAATCAAGAATGTTACCAGGATTATCCCACAGAGGATGGATCGACCCGTGCGAGAATGCGATCAACTCTCACTCAATACGACAAGGAGCTCTGATCCCGTAGCGATATGATTTGTTCTGAGAGACATTATAGGAGTAATGGATAGGCGGATAATCGTTTAAGCCTCGGGCGACGAACCAATAAAGTGGTCGAAAGTCAGGAGATATCCTTCGTGGCCAGAGAAGTCCCAGAGACTCACGTCCCCAACTCCGGATAAGGCGGTCTACGAATCAAAAAGTTCCGATTGAGGTGTCGGAAAACGCTTCCCTCGTTTCTTGGTTTCCGGATTATCTTCTTGTTCGAGGCTCTCCTTGTTCGAGATCTCACATAATCAGATGTCAGCCATGGGCTCGTCTCGACAGTCGAGAGCGACGTCTCACCTGATGGATTTCGATTCCGCGCGTATAGCTGTGACCCGTTGAATTTTCGAAGACGTCGGTCTCCGAGCATCCCTTCGCGAGCTGATTACTTCGAGTCTGAGACCACTCAGCTCCCATGGCAGCTGCTAAACCCACATTTTTCAGGTTGTTCTCCGAGTCTACCTCGCATAACATATCCTCCGGGGTCGAGGAGCGAGATGAGTTGCCACCAGACACTACTACGGTTAGAGAACATCATCCATTAGCGCCTCTTCCTTTCTCGCCGCAGCCTCGCTCGATCATTCCGAGAATTCTATTGATGTTCTCATTTTATTCATACTCACAGCTGCTCTTTGACTTGCTATTAATGCTGCTGCCAACGCTGCCTCCGGGATGGACATGACCCGCAGAAACCTGACGGAGAAAATACGTTAGCCCTCGGTGGATACCCGATGAAGTCTGTAACCTTCGCGGGTCAGATGTCAAGACAATCATCGCGCCTCGATTGCTATAAACGGCTTCCGGATAACTACCAATACATTGATTGAATACACGATCGAAACTGCTCACTTGTTGCTGCACGTTGTTCGGTTTGGTAGTCGTCGACGGCCGACTCCCTCTGAACCAGCTACTGAAATAGCCGCACTTCAGCGTCTCTACGAAGGTGGACTTCCCGCAACCCGAGTGACCGAGGATTTTTATCTGTGGGCAGACAAGAAATAACTTCGGGGATTGGCTTTTGGACAAATATGGAGGTGCTGATCGAGCCGAGTTGCCGAGAAGTATCGCCTCGTTCAAGATTTTCATGTTCTCCCCAGACTCCCACACCTTTATTTTGGCTAGCTGTTGGTTATTCGTTTTCATTTGGCTGACGAAATCCTGTCGCAAGGAGTCGTTCTTCAGGCGGGCTAAGAGTTCCCCTGCGAAGCAATTGATTAGTCAAGACGAATCGTGAGACCTATTGACTTGGCATACTTTTGAATAGCTCCGGCTCCGAATAATCGTGACCATTCCCCCGGGTATTCGGAAACTCGTCGAGCGAAACGAATATATGAAGCCCGGTGCAGCATTCCCTTCGATCCTCAGAGCGAACTCACCAATTTGAGTATGTCCTTGGGCTAATGATATGATTTCGGCCGGAACTCCATCACGGTTTTTTGTATCAACAGCACATCCCGCGAGAAGGAGACATCTGATGATTTCATCATGGCCGTTCTTTGCTGCTAAGTGTATGGGGTAGAGACCCACCTGCGGGACATTCCTGCATGAGACGGCATTCCAGTGGGGCAAAATGTCGGCGCCATGGACAGCGATCGATCACAAAGGGCCGAGAATCAGAATGCATGGTCGCTTCCGAACGGACCAGACAGTCTCGAATAAAATCTCGAATGCAGCTCCCTCACCTTGTTTGGCACATCTATATTACATCCGAGGGCACATAAAGATTCGACTAGAGTCAGGAGCCCGTCTCGGCAAGCAACGTGAATCGGTGCGTCTCCGTGCTGTAACGACGTGCGTGAAGAATCTTGATTAAGAACCCCCGGCTTTCGCAGCGCTCGCTAGACGATGAGCGAATGCCTCTTATCGACGAGAGCTGCCCGAATACTTTAAAAAGAGTTCTTCCAAAGCTGGCCTATCGTCACTCATATACAATTTGTCATCGTTCGGATCCGGAACTCACATTATCTACTTCATCGCTGGGACAACCAGCTTCGAGAAGAACGAGCGCCACGGGAACATGATGTCGCCGCAGGGCAAGGTGAAGAGCCGAGCAGCCGTGTTTGTCGAGCAGTTCCAGCTCCGCTCCGGCTTCCAAAAGACATCGGACCGATTCTGTGTGGCCCCGGGAGGCCGCGGCGTGCAAAGCGGTTTCGCCTTCCTGCCGGACGAGGTTTTCGTTCATTGAAGTTCGAGAGCAGATTCGTCAGATCAATTATTCATCGTTTGGAAGCATCGTCGATGTCGTCGTATTGGATGAAAATTAATCGATAATATTCCAGAACCGTACGGTCCCGACCACTCCGAGGCGGCTGTCCGCTCGTCGGTGGCGTGAAGGGAGTCGCCTCATTCCAGCAGTATATCAGAGCCGCCAAAGAGGGAGTTGACTGATCGATCGTATCGATCGATGAATGTCGGCGTTCGGCAATGCTCCGACTCGAATCTCGCTTGCGAGATATGTTTGCGGACTTCATTCCCTGGTCGCTTTCGAGACCGATATCACACATGTCATCGATCCGCGCACGGTGGCAGCGGAAAGCAGCGCATTAGAACTTTGTTCCTACCGGCCCCGAGGAGCCCCGGCAAAAACGATAATTCTATCGTTTTCGACGTCGATTAACCGGTGGTTGAAGACTGGAATTTATGCAAAACAACTCCCTGCTACTAACTCTGTTTCGCAGATGGGTCAAAGCACCAGCTTGACATAAAACGTGCATAATGGCCGGAAAGTCGTGCCAGGCTGCGATATGAAGGGCCGTATCTCCGTGCTGAAATTTTCATTTTCGCGAGGAGTTACGTCACTGTGCTAGACATTGATCAGAACACGCAAATACATACATTGGAGAGCAGCACAGGGCTCGGATATATTTGCAGAAGGGAATGCATGCTTTCTCACCTCATCGACGTTGTTAATATTTGCACCAAGCGAACACAGCAGCTTGACAGCCGCTCTGTGTCCGTAGCGGGCCGCGACGTGCAACGGAAATTCCCCCTGCTGAAATTTTCATCGATCCCTTAGCGTTCAGTTCAATATTGACGATCTGGGAGTTGATTCCGATAGCGGCGTGTTTCCGTTTACTTATTGAACGCTAGAATAATGGCTCACCTTGTTGTGGGTGTTCACTCTGGCCTTCTGCTCCCACAAATACTGGATCGCGTCGGTGTGACCCTGCCGCGCTGCCCAGTACATTGTGCTATCGCCGTGCTGCAATGAGACAGAACACAATGATCGCTCGCACTACCGCCTCCCGAAGCGAAGACGAAACAGCCCGGTGGCATCATCCAACATTGAGAATTCATCCAAACGTCGAAGCATTTATTCCAAGAACAAAAATTAACTTCACTCACCGAATCAGAAACGTCGAAGTTCGCGCCTCTATCCTTCAAGAACCGGAGCACGTCAAGTCTGCCTGCCCCCGCCGCTATGTGGGCCACAGTTTCGCCATGCTGATAAACGAAAAAGGTCATTCAGCTTATCCGGACTTCGCTCGGTTCGGCCGATTCGTTGAAAAACTCCAATTTTTTTTCAATCCGCGGAAAAATACGTTCGTTAGAAGTTGAGCCTCTGTGAAAGGCGGCAGCGAGCTTTCAGATGATTCCCGTGAACCCTCTTACAAACCTTGTTGCTCATGTTGGGATCGACCCCCGGCTCGCTGAATAGATCTTCGAGCTCCGACAGATTGCCCTCCTCCACAGCTGCGAAGAGCTCGGCCAATATGAATGTCTCGTCCCGCTAGGTTATCATGGAACAGAGGGAAATCGAATTAGACAGGGAAACTATCTTTTGCCTTTTCCTTCAGGTAGTCAGCCGTCACTCGGACGGCCGCTCTACCTCAGAACGCTCTGTTCGACAATTGAATTCGTTGTGCCGATTCGTGTGCCGATTGGTAGATGCGTCCGCATAACGTAGGCGAACATCACCATCAAAACTTCCATTTTAGTCAAACAAAGCGCGGAAGCATCGACCATGCTCACGCCTTCAGTACCTAACGTGCCTTCCGCCACTAAAGGGTTGAGCTTGAGCTCCCAAACGCGGAATATGTCGAACGAGAAATACTAGCGAGGATATCGTCGTCCTCTCCAGGCTCTGACAGCCCAGAGCCTTAGGGCAGGGAAGAGCAGATTCCGAAACACCGTAAGCCATCGTTTTTGGTTACTTACAATGCTCGGATAGGGGTAGCTTACAGGACTCCGGACCGTGTTCATTTTAATCACAAGTTTCCGCTGCCACAACTCCTGTAGGGGTCGCCGTGCATAGTCGGCCGCTCGTTTTTCCTCTTCTTCTTCTTCCGATGTGATTTGCATGATCAGAGACTCCACATCGACTTCGTTCGCGGGATCGAGATCCTCGTCGTGTCCTACAGAAACCATGATTCGAGATCCTCCGATCACCGAGCCACTGCTTCAAAACGTCGAAGAACACCCACGAGCTCGCTGTTCGTTCAAATGAAAACAACTCAGGGTTCTCGCAGAAGATCTCACATTGAACTGCGGGGCGATTCACATGATCAATCGACGACAGCCCGGCGCAGGGCACCCGCCGCAATCATTCGGCACTGGAGCGGGGCAGAGGAGGAGAGTCGGGGCTTGCATTCAACCCGATCACAGGTGATTCCACCGGGATGCATCGGGTCACCTAATGACAACGACAGTGTCCGTGACAGTTGACACAAGCGCCCAGATGGGGGGATCTGACGCTCTTCAGACTGCTGAGCGCTCCTGAAGTTGAGTCCTCTGAAGCTCGTAGGTTCCCCCAAACAATGGGCAGGCCACGGAAGAAATTTGCGCTCCACGTTCACTTCCCTCGGCCACCAGTAGGAACCGTGTCCCTTTCGAACGATGGACGTAGCTTGCACTGAGATTCGAAACTCGGGAAAGACGGATTCAGAAACAGCTGTCCGACGACCCGTGCTAGCGATACAAGTTGCGGCGTTATTATTTCGTTGCTTGGTGTTGCCGGCGCAGCGGCAAGCTATGTTGTTCTGTTCGGCGACGTCGGTTCAGTGCTCCCTTTCCCAGGCGAAGACGCATCTTGAAAGTGTTCGAACTGAAGACGTCGGCCGTTTTGAGCGAATAAGACGTAAACGAACGTAGTTCGGAGCCCTAGTCGGACACCGTCTCCCCTTAGTCAGAGTGAGAGCTCGATGACAGATCCGCGGAGATTGACGACAGCACCAGGAGGACGGGATCGGTGTCGGCGATCTTGGTGTCGGATCGTAGGCGTCACAAGCACGCACCCGCCCTCCGCTTCCGATGGTAGAACGAGCAACGTCGACGTATCTTGACGAACGCTTCGGTAGGAGGAGATGTTGAGCGCCTCGAAGAAAGCCGGAAAATCAGGGATCAATGTTTGCGAACAATCGACACCTTCTCTAACGTTGCCGGACGACTCCGATTGGAGAGAGCTAGTATAAGACTCCCGGAAGCCTCGGACGACGGAAAAGAGGCCTCGCGATGTTGTGTCCCCGATGGATATGGAGAAGGAAACGAAAAACGGGGACCGGGAGCAATATTTCCGTCCTCCTCACGAGGCGATAGACGTATTCACGCGGACCGAATCGTGTCGAATCTGACTCCATCAGCGAACCGCATCAGGCAGCCGCAGGGGAGAAATGCATAAATTACGCCTAATCATGACCACCACGACAGAGAATATATGGCGGGCGCCGGGTTCCTTTTCCCGCTCCGTCTCGGATCCGTATCGTCGGAGCTTCGCTAACTCATCACCAGAGGGCGCCAGCACTTCTTGACGACAGGTCTTGCTAACGCAGACAGTTCTGCGCCGGAGTCGTAACCCAGTGAGCGTTTTGCTCGGACATTGATAAAGAATGCTATCAAGGAACTCCAACCGGCTCTCTGCGCCGTAGTAAGAATCGGATCAAGGCTGCTCCTCGTGAAGAATAAAGACCTGCACGGGATTCAAGTCGATCAAAGAGGATCCTTAGGATGTCGGCCTGGTGAAACCCTTTCAAAACGCATGCCACCGCATCAGCCCATCTATTCTGGGCCAATCGAAGAACGTCCGGACTACGAGCGGCAGGGAACGCGGACTACCACCGCGGAAAAATGTCACGCCCGGATTGAGGCGTAGCCGTCCTACGGTCCGCGAAACAAGTTTCCAACGAGCCGAGCTGCCTTCCCGCCCGCCAGCTATCCGATTAGTCTGTCAGTGAATCTGTCCGAACGGAATGCAGTTCGTCGCACGAGCGCTCGAGCCACTATACCCATGACTCGCATTAGGAGGGATCACGCTTCACACAGCGGGCTCCATCTCCCCCCTGAGTATAGACAGACGACTCTTCGGCAGATTCCCGCGATAGAGAACTCAGAACTCGGAGTCGATTTTGATCCCTGATAGCCTTCTCGAGGAGAAGAAGTCTGAGCGGAAATCGGTATGGTCTTCAGTTTCGATGAGAAAAAACTGAAAAAATTAGTCCGTACGTTGCGAGATTTGGATTGCGGCTAGAGATGCCGGGGCATCTAAAAATAGAGGCTTGCACTTTTTGGACTAGTAAAAATGTCGAGCGTCGTGAGTTGCCGTCGACGGGTCATCGTCTGACGAAACGTCCAAAGCCGACTAGCGAACCTATCGCGCGGCGACAAACGGTCATACTACGCGGCTCTGTGGTGGAGTTCTCTGCCCACGACCCGTCTGCTTCGAGCCGACGTTCTTCATTGCTAACGTTCTGACTGATTTGCTAAATGTTCCAGCGTTCCCGTATACCGCTCGCTCCGTGCTGCTCACCCTGGAGCCCCTGGCAATCGAAAGCATTTTGTTCGATAAGTCAAGGTAAGCCTTGATAAGTTCGGGATTTGTCGTTCCAGAGGACTTTCGCTGCTCTGATCCAACGTTGTCGCACGACTCGCTCGTTCCAAAAGAAATGCTGTCTACGATGGGCACGGGCTCCGGCGAGAAGCCGCTCCAACCACTTCAGAGGGAGGTGACACTTATCCACCGAATCCTCGACAGCTGGGCTGGCCGATCAGGTACCGCCGACGTGAAGAAGACGCCGCAGCATCTATAATATGTCATTTTCTAGTGGAGTCCTCCCACCATGCGAAGGCCGAGAAGAGCAAGCTTGACACTGTCCGTCCTGAACGCGAATGGAGTTCGGCTTCCTTTCATGGTGGTGCATTCTGACTATTAGGGGCCATTGCGCATTAGCGTTTTTGTCTCCAGTCGTCTTGCGAACAAAGAGATAAGCCGAGCGCTCCAGAATAAACTCCCGTCCGCGTCCTCTCCCTCGGATTCGATTTTTCTGAACTTCCTCATTTCGGCAGAAAATCTTGAAGGGCCCCGCTGAATCGACGGATGGTGAACCTGGAGCGATTTGCTCCCGTCAGCTCTTGAAGCATCGGCAGCGAATTCATTGCGCTCAGAAGCCGAACGACTGAGATATCCGATTCCCATCGAGACTTCTACTCAGTCACTCCACAGATGTGGAGCGGTCCTCTACCTTCTCGCTCGTTCTGTGTCAGAAATCCTCCGGATGGCAACCCCCAGAGGTCTATGACCAGCGGGTAGAGGACTCGCAGATCCGAGATTATATGACTCGCGCCCTCATGAGAATGTAAGCATAATCTGCCCGGCTAGAACACTTCCAAACAACGCAAACCGTTTCCTGTCTCTGTAACCTATTTATCGGATTGCGGGACAGCTCCTGCACCGCACAATGAATTCAGCAACGGCTTCGGCAGCTTAAGCACATCTGCATGCGAATTGAATTCCCTCTCACCCGCTGACGTTGTCGCGGGTATTTCTCAAAGTAGCAGCAGACGACGTCGCGATCCAACTGCGGGTCATGGTTACCGGCAGAGTCGCTTGTTCTGTCTGATCTTCGAAGTCTCGGGCACCGGCTGCCGCTACCACTGTTGGGATGGCAGTCGTTGACTTAGCGGCTGTGGTAGTCAAGTTCTGCGTCGGCATCGTCATCGCTATCATCGTCTTCGTCGTTGTTGTCTTCTCCGGCAACATCATGATTGTCAACGAATTCTTTGCGAATACCGCGTTGCCGTTGAGGCTTCCCCTCGCGGCTTCTACTCCGGTTCCATCCTTTTCCAGCGGCGGGATGAAATTTTTCTCTCTTCATTGAGAGGGCCACGCCAACTTGATCTCCGGGGCGCAACTATCTGCCGATCGACGTCGATTTTCTTTTCCCGAAGGCTCTCATTCCGAAATTTCAACGCATTGAAATCGTCCTTGATCAGTGGAGACGAAACCGCGGATCTTGAGCAAGATCGGACTGGTCAGATGACCTGACACAGGATTGACCGGAAATTCATGGTTCATGACCTTGTTACACTAGAAAAGCTTTTCACACATAGCGCGGAACTTACCATGGTCTGAACCACGACGAAGTCCTTGCCCCCCTTCTCGAAATCATCTTCTTCGGGGGGATCGAAGTAGAGCGTCTGGCTCTCCGCGGCGCTCCTCGCCGCTTGGAAACCCGCCATCTTTTCGGACGTGAAATTTACTGGAGTGAAATCCCCAGCTCAAAGTGTCGTCTCCGAGCCGTCGGCGTCGCTTCACTCAACGCCATCACTCTCACGAAATCCGCGTCTCGATCCGTCTTCATTACTTGTCTGGTGAAGCGACGAGAATCCTTCGTTCGAGCGGATGATGGGGGGAGCACCTGTAAGAATGGTATCGCGGTTATCGTCGCTAGTAAAAAGATCGACGAAGGAGAAGAAACAGCTCGCAGAAAACGGAACCTGTTAGCTCGCGGGTCGATAGGGAATCACTTCCACGCCCCTGCGAGGAGACAGCTCTTTTCCCTATGGGCATAATTATTCAGTAGCGCTCATGGGCTAATCATGAATCGAAGTTCTGATGGGCTTGCGTTCGTTTTTCCCGTTCTCCCTCCTCCAACAGAAGCAGACTTGTCTGCGCTCGACATCTGAAGTGTGCCAATAGTCGCGCTTCCTCCTCGAGTGAAAAAAAAACGAGGAAAGAAAATATTAACTTTTTAAAATATTCCTGATTTCGGTGCCTTTCGTCTCGATTCCGTGGAACGGCTTACGCCACCATTGAAACAAGCAGACATCCCGAAGCCAGCGGTGCGTCACCAAGTTTAGTCGACTCTTTCGGAGCAGCCCCATCCACGCGTTCTTTTTCTCCCCAAATCCGTCTACAACTTGATAACTGCGAGAGCCTTTTGCGCTGATAGGAGCACTATCATCTCCTGGTAGTCCGACAAGCTCGCGTATTGCGACCTTCACACGTCCGTTAACATAGCCTCCTCTTAGGGCAGCCGTGACATCAGCGCTCCTCTATTCCAAAACTCCATCGGTGAATACATCGACAGCGAGACTCATCCGAGGAAAATGAGTAGAATATTTTTCCCTGCACCGCACCGAGAACAGGAGAGCTT